GAACCACAAGAGGCTCCTGCTTGTGGGCTGCAGCACAGCGTGGTGTTCTCATGGGCCCTGCCTCACTTGGGCTCGTTCTGTCTGTTGAGGCCCAGCCTAAGATGGCACTCATTCTTGGGGCTGGGACCACAGTTTGAGCACTGCTTTGGAGCACTGACAACTATGCTGGGCTGTCACCAACTCTACATATCTTGGCTTGTCTTGGTGCTGGCAGCCTGGAATCCTGTTCAGCGTTGTCAGCCCACTGAGAAGGCTGGGCCGGGCTGTGTGAGGAGCTGATGCTAATGGTGAGGTGTTTGCATCCTGCAGGAGTCCAACGGCCCCACAGATGCCTACGCAGCCATAGCCAAGGCTGATCGGCTGACCCAGGAACCTGAGAGCATCCGCAAATGGAGGGAGGAGCAGAAGAAGCGCCTGGAGGAGCTGGGTGAGACCCAGGGCTGTGTGTGGCCATGCTAGTTACACCACAGGACGTGGTGATTGAGGTCCTTGGGACCCCTTGCCTAATGGTGATCCTGCTGCACCCAAGATGTGCCTTTTGCCTCATGCCAAGTGGGTGCCCCCACCAAAAATCTGTCTGTGGAGGCAGTGACACCTTTCAGAGAATGTTCTAGTGGGGGCTGGGAACAAGTCTGGGGTGTCAGTGGGTGCCAGTCTGTCTGATGGGGTCTGTCTCACCCTGGTCTTAGATGCAGCATCGAAAGTGACCGAGCAGGAATGGCGTGAGAAGGCCAAAAAGGACCTGGAGGAGTGGAACCTGCGTCAGAATGAGCAAATGGAGAAGAACCGAGCAAACAACAGGTATGTTGCATGGCCTCTAGGGTTGAGACTGGCAGGGCTCAGTGGGAGCAGCTGTTGCAGCTAGATGTGCCTTCCTTTAGTAACCAGGGAGCTCTGTCTCCACAGTGGACCCAGCCTTGCAGAGGCAGGGCTTTGCCAGACCATGCCCCAGTACTCCGAGCAGCTCTGGTGGCCCTTCAGAACTGCTCTGGTCCCAGCTGAAGGCTGGGGGAACACAGTGGGATTTGAGGGACTCCTGTCCCATGTGTGGAAGGGGTTGGGAAGCTATGCAGCCCTGTTGTTGCTGGCAGGTTTTTCTGATGCTGTGTGTGGCATGATGAATGGGTCTGTGGGAGGATGCTAACCCCCACTCTGTTTCTCTCTTTCTAACCCTCTGCCTGCCTGTCTGCTCTGCGTTCTCTCTCTGTCTGTGCCTCGGGGCTAGGATCGCTGACAAAGCCTTTTACCAGCAGCCGGACGCCGATGTGATTGGCTATGTGTATGTGTGTCTTACAGACCATATTCTGCCCTGCACGGTCTGGGGTCCTTGCCTCAGCACTTTGGCTGCCCAGTTAAGGGAAGGGGGGATGCTGGGAGGTGCTGGGCCCTGGTGAGATTCCAGAGGGGGAATGCTTCAGCTGAGCACCTCCAAATGCTTAGGCAGCAAGCAGAGCTCTTGAAATTGCCCCCCCCCCGGTGGAGCTGGTTTAAGAGACAAAGCTGTGGAGTTTAGGGCTTTTAAGGGAGTGTCCTGGGGGTGGAGAAGTCTTGAGAGAAGGCAGACGCCCCCCTGCTTCTGGATGAACGTTGTCTTGGGTGAGTGCAGCCAGCAGCAGCCTTGACCATCCCAGGTCTCTGGGTCCTAGAGGATGCTGAGTTCATTATCTGAAGCAGTGAGACAGGAAATGGGGACACGATGGGTTCCCAGAGGGGAGGGTCTTCTCGGAAAGAGTTCTGCCAGTGACAACCCAACCCTCAACATGTCTGCAGGGCCTCGGAGGAAGCATTCCTGAAGGAGTCCAAGGAGGAAACCCCAGGTTCAGAGTGGGAGAAGGTGGCCCAGCTCTGCGACTTCAACCCTAAGAGCAGCAAGCAAAGCAAGGATGTCTCACGGATGCGCTCGGTGCTCATCTCCCTCAAACAGACACCCCTGTCCCGCTAGCTGCCATCTGGCACAGCCAGGAGTGCAGCAGGGCAAGGCCCTTCTCCTTGCCTTGCTGCTCACCAAGGCAGATGGCTTCACGGGGTCAGCCCACACAAGGGGCCTATGCCCTGCCTGCCCTCTGGTCTCTGGTGTGCACCTTGGCTGTGCTCAAATCAATGGTTGTAACTCTCCCCATGGTTTTCCTTTGCTTAAAAGGTTCATTGGTCTCTTTTTACACTTATTTATTACTGTGGCATTTCCCTGGGAAGCGACACTGGGTGGCAGAGCTGAGTTAGCAGAGGAGCCTCCAGCCAGAGTCACGCCCAGCTGCCTGGCAGGGTGAGAAGGAGAACACCTCCTACTCGGTGTCCTCCATCTCATCCAGGGCTGCACTCAGAGCAAACTTGCCCACCTCCTGCCTGTGGCATGACAGCCCTTTGTCTGGGATTGGGTCCTAACCCTGGGGCAGAGATACTGGGGGGACCTTGGTTCCTTTCTGCCCTCCTGTGGGGGTTTTAGAGCAGAACTGGCTGTAGGGTTGGGGTTGAGCAACAGCCTAAACTCATCTCCACAACACAAGATCCTACAGGGAGCATGGCAGCAGCATGATGCCACAGGGCTGGTGGGGACGGAGGGGTGAGTGTGGGCACTTGACCTGGCCATGCATCCCAAAAAGTTGGCAGTTGCAGTGTTGATATCCTGGCTGTCTGTGGGGCTGCTCTTGGCAGACAGCTCTGTGGTGCAGGGTGCTGAAAAGAGGCCACAGGACAAGCATGCAGGAAGCTTCTTGACCCTCCTACAAGGCCACTGGCTGTTGGGAAGATGGAGTGCTCAGCTTTGGGGGCCCTTGGCTCTGTTTTGTGCCTTCTCCTACTTCGAGGGAGGCAGCTGGAGGCTGTATGGCTGTAGGGAAGCAGGTGGCAAGGTCCAGCTGCTGTGGGACAAGTCAAACCTCCAGCTCCCTCACCCAGAGGCCCATAACAGGATTAGGCAGAGGTTTGGTCCTACGGCTTTTGCTGTCCCTGGAGAACAAATCACGCATCTGTCTGCAGCTGGACAGCTACTCTGTGGCTTCAGTTTGGCCCACGTGCCACTGGATTTGCACACCAAAGGCAGCATGGCAAGTTGCAGGTCCTGCTCATTGCCTCATCAGGTAAACTTTCCAGCCCAAACACCTGCTTTCTCTCCTCACTTGGCAGGACTGGCACCAGCCCCTCTGGCTCTGAGCCCCAGCCCTGGAAACCTGCAGAACTGGTTAGCTGTAGGAGTGTTGATAAGGTCTGCTTACACCTTGCAGCAGCGCAGCTTCTGTGAGCTTGTGCTCTAGGACCGGCCTGTTGTGGATTGGGGAAGGGCCTGCAGCAACAGTCTGAGAGGACATGGAGCAGAGAGCATAAACCATTTGTCAAAGTTTTGCTGCAGAGCCGTGCTCCACCAGTAAATTCAGTACATACAGCTCTTTTGCAGTGACAGCTCCACAAATCAAGGTTGTCTGCCCTCTTGCTGCATAGGCACAGGCTCATAGGCACAGCAGTAGCTCTGCAGCTGCCTGACAGGCCTGGAGAATGCTGTCATCTTTGGTAGTGGGCTGGAAAAGGGAATGGGTGTGTAGGAATAATTGTGTTTTGTGCTGGAATCGTGCCCCTTGTCTGTATGGCTGATCACTCTTCCTCTGTGTCCCTGCACTGCAGCACATATAGGCATCTCTGCTGTGGTGCAGGATGGACCCAGGGATCTGGCTGCCTGTATCTGCCTTTCTTTGCAGAGCAGATAGAAGAGCCTCTGGCTGCGCTCTGGGCCTGCAGTCCTAGGAGGTAGCCAGGCTGTGCAGTCCCCTGGCTGCCATGTTGGGCAGGGCATCTTGGGGAGCAGTGCCCACTGCTGTTCTACATCCCTTTGGCTTTGGTATATGTGACTGTTCAAATCACCTGTTACAATAAACTGACATCTCCAAACTGACCCTACAAGGCACTGTTGTCTTTATCCTTCAGCATGTGCACTTAGGAGAATCCATACCTGCAAAGCCTGCAGAAAGGACAGTGCTGTAGAACCACATCCTAGGGCTACACTGTTTGCTCTGAGCTGAGACAAGCAGCAGCAGCAGGATGAGAGTGTAGCTGCTGTGCTCTGACCACAGGCATGTGTGCTTACCCAGACATGCTGAGCAGACTTGGGCAAGCTGCTCCTGAGCCTCCTGCACCACAGCAGCCATCCAAGCAGCTTCCTGTCCTGTGGAACTCCTGTCTTTGGCTGCAAACGGCTTTGCCAATGGGCCCAGCTCACAAGTCTGCACAGCAGTTCCTCCACACACACCCTGCCCACAGTTGTCCAGGCTGGCAGCAAAGCTTCTGGGAAAGATTTACAAAGCAGCTAATGAAGAAAGTGAAGAGCAGCCTGGGCACGTTCCCCACAGCGGGCTGTGTGGGTTCCCTTGGTGCTGGGAAATAATGTAAACTGTGGCACTCTGGGCCACCTGTGAAGATGTTTGCCAAACTGAGGGAAACAGCTCCTTCTGGGAATGGGATCTTGCCCAGCAGTTGGTCCCAACTCATGCGATGCAGCAAGATGTGCAGAAGTGACCTTTCAGCAAAAGCAGCTAAATATCAGTGCGTTCTGGAGAACGCAGTCTGTTCGGGAACCCAAATTCTCACACTGTTTGCACAGGTGTTACACCTCGTGTCCTACTTATGACCTAACCACAGCCCAGAGGCAGCAGCGCCCACTCCTCTCACACTGCTGACTTTCTTGACTCCGCAGTGCTCTGCAATCCCGTATTGCTCAGCACCTTTGCTGCAATTCACTTGGTTACTCATTGGCTGCAGCTGGACGGATTGCACCTTCTCCCCAAATAACTCATGCACTGATTATGAACTCTGCCCTGCCCGGATCAAACCACAAATGGAGCCATTCCTTCCCACCCAAGCAACGCATTTCTCAACTGCTTTTACATAGCCTGATTAAAGCCACACCTCGGTGTGGAGAGGCACCACCAAGCAACAGAGGAGCCAATTTCAGCAGGCGGTGACAGCGGACACGGGAGATCTCAGGGAATCAAAGAATCACCGCAGCCCAAACGTGAGGTTATCAGCAGAGGTATATTAGCCACACTTCGACGCTATGTGACGCGCAGCATCTCCGACACCGGCTCCAACGCACCGCAGCCGTCTCACGTCCGCAGGCAGCGCCCGTCCTCCAGCCGTGCCGCTCCTCGCGCTCAGCTCCTGGCCTTGAGGGCGGTGGCCACCATGCCGCCCAGCAGAGCCGCGATGGTGAAGCCCTGAGCCATGACCCGCGCCCGCATCATCAGCTGCGAGTGGCGCGTGTTGCCCCTCTTGAAGCTGATGAGGCCGTAGGTCAGCACGCCCAGGGTGCAGAGACAGCCTGTGGGGGACGGACGGACAGACAGACGGACGAACGGACACTGAGACGAGTCCGACCCAGCCCCAGTCCCCCCCTGCCCCCGTCTCCCCGAAGCCCCGCAGGGAGCAGCGCCCACCCCCGGCTGCCGGGGCTTAGCGCCCTTCCGGGCCCTCACCGAGGGGCACCAGCGGGTTCTCGCGCGTCTTGCGCCGGAACTTGTCCGCGAAGCCCTCATCGCGGTACACCGGCATCGGGATGGGCTCCAAGGGCGGGGGAGAGCCGGCCGCCATGGCTGCGGCCGCGGGGACAGCGAACGGTGCGACCCTTCCCGCCCGCCGTAGGCCGGCTCCCGGCAGGCCACGTGACTCCGCCGCGGGGTGTGCCGGGAGCTGTAGTTTACGGCCTGGGCGGCACCGCGGCTGTTCCCTCACGCGGGACTCCGCTTCCCGTGGTGCCTCGCGGCGAGGCCCGGCCCAGCGGTGCGGCCCGACGGCGGCGTGGGGCAGCCATGCCGAAGGCCAAAGGGAAGAACCGGCGGCAAAAGTTCGCTTACGGCCTCAACCGCAAGCGGCTGTACCGCAGCGCCAGGCGCAAGGCCGCGCCGCGCATCGAGTGGTGAGGGCCGGGGGCGCGGTCTGCGCGGGTCCGGGGGGCGCGTACGCACCGCGCGGGGCGGTGATCGCAGCCCCTAAGCCGTGCCTGTCCCCGTGCAGCTCACACATCCGCCATGCGTGGGACGCGACCAAGTCGGTGGCGCAGAACCTGGCCGAGATGGGCCTGGCCGGGGACCCCAACAAGGCCGTCCCCATCGCCAAGAGGCGTCTGCAGGTGAGCGCGGGCGGGATGGGCTCTCGTGGGCGCGTCTGTGGTCTGAGCTAAATGGGGAAATACGGGGAAAAAAAAGCTTTATTTTAGACGTGGGAGATGTCCCGGTCCGTGGGCCTTTCAGATCTGCAGAAGTAACGTGTTGGAAGCCCTCTCCAAACGCACTTTTCTCGAGGTGCTTTTTCTCTCAATGCAGAGGATGGAGACGGAGAGTGATGGACAGGAGCAGGAGAAGATGCTGGTGCGGAAGCCCTACGTCCTGAGCGGTCAGTGCTGCACTGTGAGGGGCTTGGGTCGGGAAAGCTGTTAGTTCTCATACAAACTCTGATGCAGTTGTTTTAAGGCCATTACTGGAACAGGCTGCCCAGAGAGGTTGTGGATGCTCCGTCCTTGGAGATGTTCAAGGCCAGGTTGGATGGGGCCCTGGGCAGCCTGGTTTAGCATTAAACGTGGCGGTTGGTGGCCGTCCATGTGGCAGGGGGGTTGGAGATTCATGATCCTTGAGGTCCCTTCCAACCCTGGTCATTCGGTGATTCTGTGAAGGCTTGTGAGTGTGCACAGCAGGTTCCCAGCCAGGCTGGAGCTGAGCTGGAACAAAAACAGCTCTTCTTCCCAGCCTGTCCTGTCCTGTGAGTTTCCTTTCTCTCCTGTGCTGCCTTTTTCCACCTGCTGCCTCAGTGGGCATCTTGTAATTCTGAGTCCAAACTCAATGATGTCCCACACCAGTGAGACAAGAACCTGTGGCTGCCCTACTCTAAGTACAACAGCAGTGCGTTAGCAGTCACACACCACAGCAGGGGCGGCAGCATCTCCACTCCTTCCTCACAGTGTGAGCTGCAGGGCTGCGTGCCTGCAGCATTCGTTCATTCTCCTCACTGTCTCATTCATTTTCCTGCTCGGTTGTGCTGGGCAGCAGTGCAGCATGCAGGCACAGAGCTGTGCCGCAGAGGCTCAACTCAGGGAGGTGCTGCTTCCCTCCCTCCCCTGCCTGCCTGCATCACAGTGCCTCTACCTTCTGCCTAGAGATGGAATTTGAGGCCAGTCTTCCTGAGAAGAAGTCAAATACGCTCTCAAGAGACCTCATTGACTATGTGCGGTACATGATACAGAACCATGGGGAGAACTACAAGGTAAGCACTGGGTGCCTCAAAGCAAGGAACAGCTCGCTTCTGGCTCGTCTGCATGGTGAGAGTTGCCACACATCCCTGCCCTGGATCTTGGTTTGTGGTCAGCTGATTTCTAAGGGGAAATAGTGCTTTGAACCTCAGCCAGAACCTGGCAGGCACCGGCTGCAGCCTGCCTGGAGCGTGGCCGTGCAGATCCGTGTTTGCTGTTCCTCTGATGTATTCTCGGCTTTGTCACAGGAAATGGCTCGTGATGAAAAGAACTACTACCAGGACACTCCCAAACAGATCAAGAGGAAGATCGGTGTGTACAAAAATTTTTATCCTGAGGAGTACAAGGATTTTGTTGCATCACTCAAGCAGGAGAAGATGGATGTGCAGTGACTGCCCCTTTTTGTCCTCCAGTTTGCCTGCAAGCACAGACTTGGTGCACCGTTTGTGAACCACAGGCAGGTGACTGTCACTTGTCGGCTGTGGCTTCTGGGTGGGCTGAGCTGTGCAAAGCTTCTGGTGATGGAGGAAGGACCTTCATTAGACAGTTATAAGCAGGCACGAAAGACTCTTGACTGAGGCTTGTGGCATGCAGACTGAATGTGCCATGCCACTCCCTTTTTTCTGAGTGCAAGCCAGCGCTTTTTCCACCTTGTTAAAATAAATTACTGCTTCATGCTGGTGGGAATGTTTTGCCTGTGGGCTTCCATTCCTGTTAGAGCTCCTGGCACTGACGTGTAGTACACAGGCAGCAGATATGCATTACCCTCTGTGGGTGTGGGGCTGGGGACTGCAGGGGGTAGGCAGAGCCCTTGCTGATTTCCTTGTAAGCAGCAGGGGCTGCTTCCCCCAAAGCAACCTCTTTGCCTCCAGTTCGGGGAGCCTGGGCTGATGGCCCCTTTACTGCAAGGAGCCAGAGAACAGAGCCGAGTCATCAGCCTCATTTATTCATAAGAGGAAGGAGCAATTGTATAAAAGGTTTCACAGCAGAGACCAGCTGGCATGTATTTCCTTACCCCAAGTGCTTCCCCATTTCCCCTGTCAGTTTCCAAGGGCCCAGTCCTTTGTCCTGATGAAGTAGCCTTTTCTCCTGCAGACAGGGCTTTCTGCAGCTCCTGAGACAAGGACGGAACAGGCAGCAGAGCAAACAGCACACTCATATCCCCTGTTCAGGATGAAGCAGGGGAAGCAGAGCAGGGTGCCAGGTACCTGCTTTCATCTCTGCTCAACAGGCTTTTAAATACTTAAAATACTCCCCTTGCTTGGGGAAGGTCAAGCTGTGCCCAGCTCAGGTGAGGGGCTCCTGCCTATGGCTGTGCATCAGACCAGCCTGGGCTACAGGGCAGCATCACGTGGCTTGGTGTGTTTGTCAGGAAGGAGAGCCCACGTGGCCTTCATCCGCAGGAAAGCCGAGAACTCTGCTGCAGGCAGAGGGGCTGTTTCTTCCCCTGGGTAAGCACTGTGGGCTCATCTCTTCCTGTGTGAGCAGGGAGGGGGCTGCATCAGCCACATCAGCTCCAGGGTGCCCTGCAGGGGGCAGGGGCATCATGAATCCAGACTCTGCTGCCTTAACAGCAGGGGAAGGATTGCTTCAGCTTTCCAAGAGCTTCCTTATGGTTTCACACTGCTCTGCGCCTCATGCCCTCCTTACGGGTTTCCATCCGGACAGCAAGCTGGGTTCAGCCCCATTTGTTCAGTATTCTGTGGGGCTGCTGTGTAAGGTGCAGGGCTCTGCCCTGTGCTTTTGCTGCCCTGAACTGGGGGACGCATCTGCCTTCTCCCTGTGGCAGAGAGCAGAGCCCACTGCTCACATCCTGCGTGCAGCCATGTGTCAGCCCAACCCCAAACATCGCAGGGCGCAGTCCCAGCTCCAGCAGCTCCCTCCATCCCAGTGGGAGCCTGTCCGCTCAGGGCTGGGACAGCAGGGTGACCAGCAGGCTCTTCACATGCAGGACGCTGGTGGCCGTGCTCAGACCAGCCCACGTCGCACTGGTGGGCAGGAGGAAGAGCTCCCGCTGCCCGCTGAGCAAGTGCAGGGCCAGCTCCTCCCGCAGCTCCTCCGTGCTTAGGGCATCACTCTTATCCTGTGGGCAGAGAGGAGCTGGCTGAAGAGGGTGGTGTGGCCACAAGCCCATGGGCGGGGAGCAGCACAGTGTCTGCTGAGCCGGTTGCCGGTTGGCAAGAACCCGTCTGGCCGTGCAGCCCTAGCAGGGATTGCTTGCTCTTGCAGCGGAACCGAATGGGAAACAGCAGCAGGCATGCGCTTGGCCGTCTGCCTGGGCAATGGATTTCCCCTTTGAGTTTCTGCGTGCTGCACTCCTGAAACTTCTTTGCTGGGGCAAGAGGAGCAGCGCCCACACTTGTGATAATGTCTGGAGGATGTGGGCACTGAGAGTGCAGGTTTTGCAAAAGCCGAGGGATTTGGGTCATAAGGATTTGCCCTTGAGGCCCTCGGGAGGGTTGGTTTGGCTGCAGTCAGCGCTGGGAGGCACCCACCTGTTTGTTGGCCAGCACAACCAGCGGCAGCCGGGGCTCCTCAGCCAGCAGTGTGTGCAGCTCCTGGCGTGCGGTCAGCAGGCGTGACCTGTCCACCGAGTCCACCACGAACACCAGCACGTGGGCATCGCCCAGGTAGAGCGGCCAATACGCCCGCAGGTTGTAGCTGCCACCCACTGTGGGAGATGGGCAGCGTCAGTGCCAGTGTGGGGGAATGCTGCGTCCCCACGGGGAAAGAGGGGCCTGCCTTACCCTCCAGCAGGTCCATCTCCAGCCCCCCGACGCGCAGCTGGGCAGAATTGAAGCCCAGTGTGGGTGGGATGCGTGTCCTGGCCTTCTGGCTGCAGATGTAGTGCAGGACGCTGCTCTTCCCTGCGCCGTCCAGCCCCAGCACCAGCACCTGCTTCCACACCGCCTGCAAGCAGCAGGACAGAGTGAGGCTGCTTGGGAGTCGGGCTGAAGCAAAGGGTCCCACCGGCCCCCAGATCCCACGCATCTATTCCCAAACCGGGGGGTTCTGGCCACCGAGCCCCCTTGCTACACAGGAAGGGCTTGGGGGGGTCCCATTGATACCCCTACCCCAAGCCCCCTTCTCCAACTAAGTGGGCTCTGGGCGGGGACTTCAGATCTAGCAGCTTCAGCACCACGGGGAATGAACCCCTGCCCCGTGCCCTTCCCCATCCCCATGGGGATCCCAGCGAAGGACAGCCCCGCCGCTGTGCCCCCGGGCTGAGAGGCGGCGGGTTGGATCCCCTTACCGTGCTACCAGCCGGGTCTCGCTCCTGCAGCTCCCGCAGCTCCCAGCTGTCCCAGGTGCCCGCGGGCTCGGTGCCGCGGAAGTAGAGTTTCCAGGCGATGAAGAGCAGAGAGCCCAGCACCACCACGGCGGCTCCCAGGACCAGCGTCAGGTTGCGCAGGACGCCGGTCGGAGCCATGCGGTACCGGTACCGGCACTGGCAGCGTGCGAGGCAGCCAGATGTATGGCCAGATGTGCCCGCCCCCGGCGTCAGCGCCGCGCTTAAAGGGGCCGCTCCGACCGCGGGGGGTGGAGAGAAAGGGAGAGAGGAAGGGGGAGGGTTGGTAGGTCCTTGAACGGAGCTTATAAGCAGGAGGGGAGGAGGAACTGACTTTTTTACATGGTGTAGTAGGGCAAGAGGGAATGGCATTAAACTAAAAGAGGCTTAGGTGAGACTTTAGGAAGAAATTCGCTACTGGAGCAGCTGGAGGTGCTCAGGGCCAGGTGGGATGGGGCCCTGCAGAGCCTGATCCGGTGGAGGGCAGCCAGCACTCGGCAGGGTTGAGGCCAGGTGGGTTTTGAGGTCCCCTCCAGCCCAGCAATTCTGTGATTCTATGGAAGAGGGAGGCAGGCAGTGGGGTCTGGAGCCTCCCCAGTGGTGCTAAGTGGAACGGGCAGGGCTCGTATAGTGGTGGAGGACGGGGCTGTGGTGGCCACGATGCCCGCGGCAGGACACGCCTATAACTCTTTACACCCAGCTGGGGCTGCCCCAGGCCACGCAGCCTCGAATGCGAGGTCAGGTTGCCTAGGAGGCTGTGGATGCTCCATCCCTGGAGGCGTTCAAGGCCAGGCTGGATGTGGATCTGGGCAGCCTGGTCTGGTGGTTGGCAACCCTGCACATAGCAGGAGGCTTGAAGCTGGATCATTCTATGACTGGCTGCGCTGCGCAGAGCCGATGCTCCTCGTCCCCTCAGTCCCACCCCGTTCCCGACTACATCTCCCGGCATGCTCCGCGCACGCAGCCGAATCTCGCGAGACCGGCCGCCTATAAAGGCTCTCCCGCGAGGGGGCGGGCCTACTCACGTATCACCTCGGGAGACGGTGGTCGTGCGTTCCCGTGCCGTGACATGGCGCCACCGCTCCGCCCCGCGCCTCCCGCCGCGCCGGCCCGCCAGTCCCGCTGATCCCCCCGGTCTCGCCTCGCCGCGGACCGCAGCGCCGCCATGAGCGCCCGGCAACCGGACGCCCCCGGTAAGGCCCTCTCCGCGCTGCGCGGCGGCCCGGGTCGGGCTCGGGCGCCGAGCTGAGCGCTGCCGGCCTCTCTGTTCGCAGCGCTGGAGCGGCGCGGCGGGGCGCTGCCCGGCAGGATGTCGTTGCCGCTGGGCGTGCCGCGGAGGGCCTTCAGCTACGACGACGCCCTGGAGGACACGGCGCCCATGACGCCGCCGCCCGCCGACTTGTGCGCCAACGTGCTGTGGAAGCAGCCCGTCATCCCCGAGCGCAAGTACCAGGAGCTCGCCAAGGTACGCGCTGCCCGGCCGCTGCTGCTCGGCACGGCTGTGGGCTGGGAGCGGCTCCGCGCTCCGTCTGGGCGGCCGTGTGTTCGAGGGGCCTCTGGCCAGCGGGGGAACTTGTGACCGAAGCATGCTTTGGGCTCCAGCTGAATGTAATTTAACCAGCGCAAATGACTTTGGGGATGCTTCGAGTGCAGGGCTAGCTCTTACGTTTAGAAGATTTGGAATGTGCTTGAGCAGAAGCGGAATAACCTTGCATTCCTTTGAGCTTAACCTCTACTTTACGCTTTGTTTTACTGTCTTTCTTGTGGAAGAAGCCCAGGAGCTGTGGTTTGGCACAAAAATCAAGTGCTGTGGTCAGGGAACAGCAGCCCCTATGTTAGGAGGAGGCAGTCTGTGCCAGCAGGCTCCTTGTTTTCTGGCATTCACTGTCTGCTTCATTGCTGGGATCTCACTGTCAGCAGTGCAGCTTTGGTTCCTTTCAGTAAGAAACTGAAAGAGTAAGAAATGAGGAGAAAATAAAAGCTAACCATCAGACAGCAGTGTGTGACTGCTGTGTACATACAGGTGCTTCTGCACTGTCTGTGAACAGTGCTCTTGCCCCGCTGACCTTGCAGTCCAATTTGCAGTTATGCAGATGGAAATAGATATGTTCTAGTTTCTTTTCTGTTGAACTGCTTTGTACTAAATGTAGCACATTGCTGGCTCTGAGCTCAGTGTGTTCTTACATGTTGGGTTGCAATCACTTGTTTGCTGCTAAGAATAATATTCAGGCCTTAAGTGTTCCTGGGCTAAGGCTAGAACAGCATGTGGACTTTTTCTGTAGGATAAAGGCTAGCAGTTCTCCCTGGTGTTTTGTTCAAGCACTTAGAGATGCATCATGACAAAGAGCTGTGATAGTTCCTGATCTAAAACGCCCTGCTTCTTCTGCACAGATTGAAG